GTAAATAGGCAATGTGACTTAGTAAGTGTTCCGCATCTAGAGCAATTTTGACATCAACAAAAGCTGAGATTTTATGATTATTGATAATCACATTACAAAATTTTATTTTTACAAATCATATTTTCTAATTTATTTATTTGTAAAATATAATTTCTTTGTTAAATGAACATTGACGACGTCAACATCGAAAAAGTAAAAGAAATCTATACCGATTCAAAATGTGATAACTAGATATTTTATTGTCGAAGACGTGCTGGTTTTACAATGCAGGGCATATAATTGTTTGAAGATGCATGGGTAATCGGACTCTATTGTTTTAGGAAGGATTGGACCTGTATGTGATGGAGTTTCGGTATAATATATGAGTGTAGTTGTATACATGTATACATGTATATAAAATTATAAATGGATTTATCTTTGTGTCATGGTAAACCCAGTTCAACATTACTCATCAGGGGTTAAGATGCTGAACTGTTGCCATTATGATGGATGGCAAACGTGTTTCATACTCCAAGGCCTTAGAGCTCAACCCTWCACGCGGCTACCATGGATGAATCCATTTATAAGTTGGGTGCAGTGAAGGCGCCGAAGTGAATAAAACGAAAGTGAAGTGTGTTGCAAGACATGACGGTAGAGTACAAACATTAAATGTGTGCAATGCTTTCCATTATTTATGGACATATTTTATGATGGCGAGATGGACAAACCTGATAATATGAAGGGTTTTTTAGACCCCGAGSTCATTTTACAACGGTACATCTCGAGAGATTTGTAGAAAAAGCCGGTTAAGAAAGAGACGCAATACGATTTGTAAATATAAAAGTAAAAGTAAATATAACACGCGAGAATAACTCAAAAATCATTTTATAACGTATAGAATATGGTAAAAATATAACGGAAGAGGAAAAAAAGTCGTTAGAAAACTAAGAGCGAGCTACCAAAAACAAAACTGAGCACCATTCGTGTGGGGTCCCTGTGCTTGAAATCTACGTTAAAGAAACAGTTGTGTAAAAAGATAAATTTAACACTGTAAAAAAGTGGTGAAATAGCTTACTGACGTTTCGGAAGTTAATTCTTTGTACTCCGAATCGTCCGCAGAAAGTTGTTTCACCACTTTTTTACGGTGTTAAATTTCTTTTTACACAACTACTTGTATGTTATGACCACTATTGGATCGTGAATTTCTAGGGTTTATTAGATACCTTCAGTTCTGATAGCAGGTTTTTACTATATTCACAAAAAAATGCGAAAACTCTTGACAATTCGAAAACAAAGCGAATTATAACACGTCCCTCTAAAATAAGTATTTATCAAATCTGATTTTCATAACTACCATCGTCTACCACATTTCAACCGCAAACTGATTAACGTTCAATTCACGTTTTCAAAATTTTGTAGATCAAGGTTTAAATGCCACCTGCTGTAGTCGAAGTTCCTACCTCTGATATGCCCCACTATTGTGAATATGCTGCTTGTATCAAAACATTACCAAGTATGGAACCGCAATATCTTAAACATCTCTCATTGAAATGAAACAATAGTGATAGAACCCGCGCGTTTCTGTACACATTTGCACCGAATTCCAACCGTCATCCCTGGCTAAGTTATTTGAAGAAAACGCCCCTGGCGTCTGGAGATATGGTTTACGTGTAGCCAACAACACATTGACCTTAAATCATGTTATATTTCTGACGTCAACTGGAATTAGGGGCCTGTAACGCGTCAGTCTATTGTTATCAATATTTCATGGAATTGGGTCGATGTTTCTGTTCAGCTCGTTTCATGCTGAGTAATTATGACGAGATATTTTTTCCGCTTTTTAGTTCTAGGTGTAGATATAACAGTAAAGACAAGGCAAAACCTATGCATTTGTATTAGAGAATATATACAGCACATTTCTTATTTTATTTACCTTTATTTGATAAGAAAAACACAAGCACAACAAAGATAATATATTATATTTTCCAAGATTAAAATCGTCAATATACAGTATGTGGTCTTGACATGCGCGTACGTTTATTCACAAAGTTTTGTTAACAAAAGCTTTAATGATAAATGGAATCTTCTGCTTGTATCACAACATTGCCAAGTATGGTATAAAATCTTTAATGATCTCCTATCAGCGAAGAGAAAAAGTAATACACTTGACCGGTGTATATGTTGCTATAAACGTTGCCATAAACATTACCCTATCATTTGGTCTGTATGTTGGAGCAGGTCTGTTCAATTTCATTAGCCTCGAAGTAGTGTCATTCGTGTTGTTTCAAGGCCAACTTCACGTCTAAAGTGTACGGCAGTCGCTCTTAACTTTACCTACTAATCGTGGTTAAAATGGAATTTTGTAAAGAAATCCTGACGACATCACGATTGGGGCAGCGAGATTATATTGCAACAATATCGAATCTTATTTTAGGAATTGTATTGTCAAGTGTTGCACTTGGTTTAAACACTCGAGAAGCTCTTCATTTTCGATGCAACAATGTCAAAAAGAACGCGAGTGACGAAAATAACGACATTGTACAAAAAGAATGCCACCTTCGTTATAGCGAACATTATGATTCCCCTATTTCAATTTTCCTTCACATAAACTTGAACTTCTTCCTTCCGACAGCCGTATGTATTATCTATTCTTGGTGCTGTGTGAAAACCCAAGTTGAACGCGTTGAAGAAATTTGTAAGTTTGACAAAGAAAACCCGCAACGTACACAAAAGATAACGACCAAGCGCATTTACAGGTGGTGTGTCTTTCAGCTATTTGTACGGTTAATTTTCAGAGTGTCTGTCTTGCCGATTACCTTTTTGACAGATCATTTGATTCCCACAGATTATCCATCTGAATTTTCTTGTCGACTCAAATTGAAAGTTGTAAGACGTTGCATTAATCATTTAGGTTTAGAAAAGACAGCATTAGCATATGTGGTGCATGGTTTCAATCTTTTTTTTATGGTATACGTATTTTGCGAACTATGTTACTTAAMGTACGCCACATGCAAACGCCCAGATTTTGCGTGTGACTCTGAGTTTTGTCAAAAATATCTTTTACGAAAACGTAAAGTGCCACTGTTGTTTACGGAGAAGTTGAACATTCTGAAAGTTCAGATGAAGGAACAAACCATGTTTCTTGAACCTTTACTTCCAACAGTCTTTGACCACAATGGAAAAATCTATACAGAATTTCGCATTCGTTCCAAGAAGGATGGGAAGCYAATAMAACTTAAAGATATATTCCGRGATGATAATCTGCGAACTATTCTAWTCATTGGTCAGAATGGCATAGGGAAGTCCTCGTTATGCACAAAACTCTTAAGTCATTGGAGCGAAGGAGAACTTAATTGTGTGCAAGAATTTGAGCATGCATTTTTATTCAGATTTCGACATTTAAATTCCAAGTCCATGGAAAATATATCGCTCAAGGAATTTCTCGGAAAAGCAGAACACTCCATCGGTGAATTAGATGATGATACATTGCAATATATTTTAAATAATGCTGAAAAGATTTTGATCATAYTTGATGGTTTGGATGAATTTGAATGTATTGACGATTCCTTAGATGTTGAAAGGGACTATGCTGGGTTCAACGGTGTTAATGACAAGATTCCARTTTCAGCCCTCTTCGTCAAATTACTGCAAAAGAAATTCCTTCGCGGGGCTACCGTAGTGACAACTACAAGACCAAACACATTTGACACTGTTCCATCWTTTATCCGTTTTGACAAGATTTTAGAAATCGAAAGATTTCAAGATAACGATGTCAAAGACTTTGTTGACAAGTTTTGCAATGAGTCAGACTCAGACAAAGCAACGTGGGAGCAGATTCAATCAAATCTCAACATATTGGAAATTTGTAAAATACCTGCAATATGCCTCATTGTTTGTAACTTTTCAAATAGTTGCTCTTTTGCTTTAAAAGCAAGATTCACAAAGGTCTACAAGGAARTACTCAGGATGTTCATATTGAGACATCATCCTGATTTCAAGACTAAATTGAGAGCTCGCAGCTTTAGTTGCTCACTCGAACAACTCTTTTCATCTTGTYCAAAATTAAAGATAGAGAAATTGGCATCATTAGCAAAGAAAGGGCTCGAAGACTGTAGAGACGTTTTTGACAAAAAAGAGCTTGACAAAYATGGCTTAAAAGCCAACGACCTTTTGGTGTGCTTGCCAAGAAATGATGTCTTGCCCTACGGCTACATCGCTGAACCTCAGTACCAATTTGCCTTTCCATACCTTCAAGAGTTTCTAGCTGCCAGGTGCATTGTTACCGAAGCTCAAAGAGGAGTTCTGAATCCTGCTGATTATATCAAAGATAAAACGTCGGATGYGGATTGGCATCTTGTGCTTCAGTTCGTATCAGGGCTCATTGGTATGCAGTCTGTGTCACGTAGATGGGAAAGGTACAAGGAAGCAGTCCAAAAAACGTTTAATACGGTCCTCCAAGAATGCTTTACAGGATTAGAGGAGTTATCGATGAAGACCGCATTAAACACGATGAAATGTTTTTACGAGCTAAATGACGACGGCGAAATCAGCCTGGGCGAAATAGATCGTGTTGCATCAGGGCATTCGGTGCAACAGATAAATTTCTCAAACCTGAAGGTTTCACCTGTTGATTGCAAAGTAATGGCCGATTTCTTACGTCGACTTCCAACACCATTGGAATTACTCAATTTGAGTTCTAACTCCACAGTTCGTGACAGTGGACTGGCAGAACTGATCCGGTTGATCGAGGAAAAGAGTCCCAAAACACTCAACATCTCAAGTTGTAAAATTACAGATAAAGGCTTAGAAGACCTGATGAAAGCAACTCGTAAGGAGAGTTCCACACTAACCTGTTTGATAATGGGTGGCAACCCTGATATTACAGAAAGTGGAATACGAGAATTATGCTCAGCTCTCAAAGATGTCAAGTTTAACGTCGAAATCTTGGATCTGTATGGTATAGAATTGAGTAAAAATAGTTCTGAACACATTTGTCAAACCCTCCAGGATAGCAATTGTCCACTGTCTGAGTTATACGTAAACCTTGATGAAGAGTTTAAAACACCCTCGATTAAAGGAAACCATAGCCCTACAGCGAGCTCCAGCCCAAGCCACCCTTGTCCTTGTCCACCTAATTCACAGCCTATGAATCCGATCCCGAAACCCTTTTCAGAGTATCGGTTATTCAACGCAATCGTGCTTTCTAAGCTTGAAGTATTGGGGCTCAGAAATAATAAAATCACAGACAATGGTCTTCGCTTGCTTTGTGCGATAATCGAAGACAGTAGATGCCCACTAAAGAAGTTATATCTAATCGGAAACCGTATTACCGGCAAAGGACTCGACGAGCTTATGAAATCGCTAGCAAGTCAGCCCGACTGCAAACTGGAGGTATTAAACCTGGAATCGAACAACATTACCTGTGCTGATAGTGATGTACGGAAACGTATTTGTGACGGATTAAGACATTGTAAACTTTCGACCCTTAATCTTTCTCGTAATGGCATATTACCTAATAATAAAAGATGTTTAAGCAAAGCTGAAAAGCCAGAATCTCTGTCATTAGATATGTAATCGTTAAAAAAAAAGAAAAACAAAACGATGTTCAAAACTGAGTCAAAGCGAATCACAATTAAGGGACCATCACGTGCCTCGTACGACAGCGAGCATTTATATTGCCGATTTACTTGAGGCAAAGAAACTTGAACATTGCCTAACTATGTGCATTGCCTCTGACAACTATGAAGATTATGCACCGGTTTTGTGTATAGAACATGTAGAGTAGACACTTTAAAATCGATGAAACAAATAATACTAATTTATTACTATACTAAATGGGGCACTTAGTACCAATTTTAAGTACACGAAATTTCTTGTAAAAACACATTTCAAGAAAGAGGGAGGTTTGTTAAGAAACCTGTTTAACTTCAAAGCTAAGCGGCTCCGTTGTCTGGGATTGATGAGGACTCGTGCCCGACTTCAATGGTGACGCCATTTTGAACATCAAAGCGTGATTGGAGACATTGTCTTTCTCCCACTTTTTTATGCTCGCTAAAATTCGCCCCAAAATCAGTTTTGTGTTTCGTTCGCAATTCAAAACGGCAAAATTACGTGCATTTTGCAAAGAAAGCACGAAAATGGATTGTGTTGATTATACCGAGGCATTAGATGGCGGCGATGATTATGTTGCGTAGCGTTCACTTCATGATGTCGGACAGCGGGTCTTCTCTATCTGTAAATAAGTAACTAATTGAAGCACACAACAAATATTATTCATATTGCACGTACTCATGATCTACACAAATAAAACTCTTGCTGGTATATCAATGAGTGCTTTGATCGTTCTAGACCAT